TCCAAAGAGGGGACACCACGCTTCCCTGGGGGCAGGGGATTTCGGCAGCACGCTCAGGGGGCACCCTCCCCCCCCCCTCCCGCCCAAGCACATACTGCTAAATGGGCCTCCCGTACATTCCAGGAACAGTGGGCTCAATGCTTCTGGCCTAGAGAAAAAGCATCCTGGGTTTCAAGAGGCTGGGTTCCCTGGAGGTCCGGCTGCTGCTGGGTGCTGTGGGCAGAAGGGAGGCTCAGGGGAGGGCAGAGGGGACAGCCCTGGGCCGGGGGGAGGGGGGGGGGTGTCTGAGGGCGTGGCTTAGGGCAAGACTTGACTCCACTCAATTATGTGTTCCCAGTGATGTGTCCTCCTGAACCTGAGAGTGACAAAAGGATGGCCCTGCACAGAGCAGAAGGAGGCTCTGAGCACTAGGCCACCCTGCACAGAACCTGGGAGTGAGGCGGCTCTGAGCCCCTCGCCGGGCCCTGGCCAGCCCGGGGAAGAGGACGGAGGCCTGCTGGAGCCTGCTGGGAACAGGCTGGCTTCTCTAGGAAAGACCACGGGGAGCAATTCCTCTCAGGCCCCAAAGCCGGTAATCCAGAGGCCTTTCCAGGGCACTAGCTTGCTTTCATCTGTGGATACTGTAAATCTTGAAACAAACTGTGTTTCTGTCTTTGCTTTGGCTCCTGGGAAGCTCCAGACCAAGTTTCTGACCCCCTGTCCCACCTTTATAGGACTTAATGGAGTTTGCTTCTGTATGAACTCTTTTGGCTTAATTTTCTTTTTTCGCTGACCCCTCATGACTTATTTTTGCCCTCTGTCTGTTTTCCCTGAAAGCTACACCACATTGTTTGTGGAAGGATACAACTGTGAGCAGATAAGCAAGTGACCTGTGAAACTGGGGGGCCCCTGCCGCCAAACATGGTTACTATTTTTTTTAACCTCACAACCTATGTTGAATTAGTAGGTAGGCAATTTCTCCCTTCATTTTTTCCCCTTTTAAGTTTTTTTTTTTTTTAAATAAGTTGTGTATGCTCATGGTTTCAGAGTCAAATGATTCTAGTCACACAAAACAGCAGCCTCCTGACACCCCTGCCCCCACTTCCTGGTCCTCAGAGGCTGGAACTCTTAACTGATTCTAAATAATATGCTGATGCTGCTACTTCTGGCTTCTCAGTTTGGTGCATTTCTATGGACTTCCCAATATGAATATGAGGATATTATTCTTTCAAACACCCTCCCACAATGCTCATCTTCCTGCCCCACTTTTTGATGGCTCAGCCATAGCCTCAGGGCTCACACCACTGACTGTGTGGAGGCTGAAAGTTGCACAATACTGCGTGTTAGGGTTACTTTTCCCTTTTGTTTCCTGGAATCGGTCTCTCTCTCCTTAGTCTTACCTCCCACCCCCACTTGACTGGTGGGGACTTGGGTCCCCTCGGGGTCACACAGCACAGTGAGGTCCTGCCCCTGCTTTTCTTGGGTCTCTGCCACGGCACCCACCTTCCCCAAGCGCACCGCTCAGCCCTTCCGGAAGGCCGGGCTTGCAGTCTAGGCCTGCATGCTGTTCTCAGGAAACAGGGAGCTACTCTTTTCGCCTGAAAGTCACAGGCCTGAAACTTACCTGGAATGAGCCCAGGGCCAGTTCAAAAAACAGCTGGATCTCCATGGCATCATCTGGCGAGAAGGCGAAGATGATATAGTGGGCGCCGAAGAGAGGGATCAGCAGGAGGGTGGACTTGGCCAGACGCCTGCGGACGCAGGGACACGCTGCAGTCTCTGTCCCTCACCTGCCCGTGGTCGCCCGGCTCTGCACACCCCGTCTCGCCTTTTGCAGGAGGCATAGCAGCAGCGTCCCCAAACTTTTTGTTTTCACTTTGGAAAATTTTCAACTCTCATGTACCCATCACTGAGACACAACACTTACCAACATATGGCCAGTCCCAAAACTTCCTGACCAGGCATCCCACCAGTAAAGAAATCAGAACATGGACCCACTCAAATAAATATTTACTCATAATGATGTGCAAATATGACTGCCACACTAGGCCTAATATAGTATCAGCAAGGCCAGCATTCACATTTGTTTTATAATAAGGTGAAATTCTTTCATTTTCTTCCCAGATTAGATTGACCAAATTTAGCAAATAAAAATACAGGTTGTGCTCTAACCAGTTTGGCTCAGTGGATAGAGCGGTGGCCTTCAGACTGAAGGGTCCCAGGTTGGATTCCAGTAAAGGGCATGTACCTTGGTTGCGGGCACATCCCCAATAGGGGGTGTGCAGGAGGCAGCTGATTGATGTTTCTAACTCTCTATCTCTCTCCCTTCCTCTCTGTAAAAAAATCAATGAAATATATTTTTAAAAAAATACAGGTTGCCCACTTTAATTTGAATTTCAAATAAACAATGGATTTTGGGGGAGTGTAAGTACTAAAAATACTATTTGTTGTTTATCCAAAATTCAAATTGAATTGAGCAGCCTGGGCTTATCTGGCGTTTTATCCTGAATGCCCAGCTCCACCCTGCTTTGGAGCCCACTGCCCTGTGGACATCCTAAGGAATCTGTCACCAAGCAATCCAGGCTGCTGCTAGCTTCTTAACACTGTGAACACGCAGAGAAAGTCTCTGGGAGACACTGTTTTGCCATAAATGTCTGTGATGGGTTGACTTGTGTCCCCGCCCAAAATCACAAGTTCAAGCTCTAACCTGCAGGACCTCAGAATATGGCTATAGTATTTTCAAATAGGGCCTATAAGAGGTGATTAAGTTGAGGTCATTAGTGTGGGGCTTATGTGAGCACAGGAAAAAGTTCATATGAGGACACAGCTAGAAGGCAACTGACTACAAGCCAAGGAGAGAGGTCTCCATTGAAATCAAACCTGCCGACACCTTCATCTTGGACTTCCAGCCTCCACAACTGTGAGAAATTTAATATCCCTTGTTCAGAATTCTGTAGAATTTTATGGCAGCCCTAGCAAACTAATACAGCATCTCTCTTTAACATCTCAACAGTTTTAAAGTATTCTTGGATTACACATCTTCAAAATTTGATGGAAGTTGAGGTCACTCTCCCTGAAAAATACACCCACCTAGCCTTTTCCCAAGGGTGAAATCCCTGACTCCTGGGTCCTGCTGGGATTTCCTATCTCCTCACCCCAGACCCGTTCCCCTGCCCCCATTTATACTACAAACTCCCTGGACTAGGTCACGGTTTTCCCTTCTCCCCCGTGTCCAGTGGTGC